ACCTTAGGATCTTCTTATTAAATAGAAAATGAGATAAATGAACAAAGACAGCACATATTCTTGGATTAGGTAGTATGAAAGGGTTGAATTGACAGTCTGTGAATTGGGCAGAGGTATTGCCAGGTTTCATACTGGGACGTTCCCATTATTGCATTTTGGTTAGATCTTCCTTGGGGTACATCCTCATGTTATTAATCTCAAAGATGAATCAGCCTAAATCTTGACATAAATCCTCCCCAAACCAAAGGATAAGAGCATTAACCTCAACCAGCTGTATCTGTGACTAGAGGCTGTGAACCTTTTCTGCAGAGCTGAAAAATAGAGTTCATTCTTGACCTGAGACATTGCTATCTATCTCAGAATTGATCAAAGTCTTAAGACTCAATAACTTTGAGGAGGAGAACCTTCCCTGGAGGCCAAGTTGAAAGGTCTTCAAATCCACTTCACTTCCGATTGAAGGTAGACTTCCAGGATTTAAGTTATGTCATGAACAGAGGGGAAAAAGATAAATGTAGTAAGCCCATGTTGACATTTTCCTCATATGCATTTTCAGGAAAAAAATTTAAGGAGGGATGATTCATTTGCATTAGCCTGTCTTTCTCTTAGTTAAGTACCTTTGTTTTATGTTCCTGTTATTCTGTCTGCATAATAAATTACCCAAAAATGTAGTGGCTTAAAACAGTAGAATTACTTTGCTTACAAATTATCAGCAGAACTTGATGGGGAATAGCTCCTCTCTCCTCACATGTCTTCCACTGGAAAGAGGGCTGCAAGATGAAAAAACCTAAAACGCTACTCCTTGGCCTGTCTGCCTGTTGATGGTGGAAAGACTCTAATAGTGCTGGTGAGGCTGGGGCTCCTAAGGCATAGCTCTCTGTTTCTATAGATCTCCATGTCATTGCCCCACATTGCAGCTTCATTCAGTAGATGAACTTCTTACCTGTTGGCTCAGGGTTCGCAAAGTGTATATCCCAAAGAATAGTGTCAGGAAAAGCCATATTGCTTTCTAGTGCCTGAGGATGAGACATAGGCTCTAACTCTCAATGGAGGAGTGTCAATATCATATCGTAGGATAAGCCTGTGGGATATGACATACAATGGTGTGGTCATCTTTAGAAAATACTGTCTGCCATATTTTGCCTTTTATAATACATGCTGAACTGCAGAACTATGAATTCTCTGTCATTATCTACTAGACAAAACAACTCACAGCTTTTAAGGCCTGATCTCGATTCCTTGAACAGAACTGGACATGATAAAAAGATTAAGAAAACACTCATATTACATTTCACACTCAACATTTTTGCACATGGGCATTGCATTAGAATCAGACAGAATTGCATTCGAATCTCAGCTCTGTTATTTTCTATGCAGGTTCTTCATCTGCACATAAAAATTCCTATCTCAGCATAATTATGGTGATTAAATGAGAAAATTCACATAAACTCTGAGCACAGTACCTACCATATAGCTACTGGTTTTAGTAGGGAGTGGTAGTGATGGAGATAGAAATTAGTAGTAATTACAGCAATGTGTTTAAAGGTGTCTATTTTAAGTCATGCCCATGGATTTTCTTCTACTGTTCCTCTAAATTTCACAATAAGAAGGCTCCCCAACCTCACATGCATTAGTGTTTAGAAATTCATGTAAATCTGATTAATGCACATTGATTTGAATTAACCAGAGTCAAATCAAGTTCTCTCTAAAAATAATACCTCAGCTTTCATTTTGGTTCAGCTAGTGAATTGCTATGGAACTTGGGACTGGCAAGCTTTGTGCATTTTGCGCAACTATAACATTGCTTAGGGATGGTCTCTTCTACTATAGAACACCTATTGGTTAGGAAGGTCAGCAAAAGTCTCTTTCTCTAATAGTGAGTATGTGGCATATGCCCTTCAGCAGAAGACTACCACCCTTCAGAGAAGACTTGTGAGCCTACCAATGCCCTCTGTGCTCTCTTTTTCCACTTAAGGTCCTGAGGGTGCTTGTTGTCTATACTCTTCATGTAGCTTGTAACCTCAAACTCTCCTATGGACTCTCTTGCATTGCTGTTGCAACAGGTCACCTGCTCCTACTCACCAACTCTGCATTTGATCACTAACTTCCGGAATCTTTGAGGGCAAGTAAAGTGATAAGTATTCTACTTCATGAATTCTCTCATCCATAAATATATATTCAACACCCACCACTTGCCAGGCACTGTTCTTAGTCAAGAGAATTCACACTGAGCTACAGAAACTCTGTCTCAGGCTGCACGCCTCTTGGAGCTGACCTGGAGATATGGGTTCATCTGCAGGCAGTTTATTGGAGAAGTGATATCAGGAAACACCAGTACAGGTGTGGGGGAAGTGGGACGGCAAGAAGAGTAAGTAAGGAAGAGGTATGTCTTCCAGAAGGTTAAACACTGGGGCCAACCAGAGCTTCAACCTATTAGGGAACCCGAGGAAACACCTTTCTCAGTATTACCACCCTTGATGGGTAAGGGAGCTGGGAGGTTTATAGTCCCACCAACTCCCATCAGGGCTGCTTGCAGGGAGAGGCCACATGAACTCCTGGACCCTCCTGCAGATCTGAATTCCAGCAACTAGAAAAAGCTTGCAGGCAAATAATCATACGTAATAAAAGTGAGCCAGTGTGGATTGAAGTAAAAAGAGCTGAGGCAGTGTGTCAGTTTCCTAGGGCTGCTATAATGAAACACCACAAACTGGATGGCTTAGAACAACAGCGACTGAAGTTTCCACATCTCTGCAGGCCCGAAGTCTGAAATCAAGGTGTTGGCAGGGCCAGGCTTGCTCTGAAACTGCAGAGGAATCTTCCCTTGTCCTTTCCTAGCTTCTGGTGGTTTGCCGGCAATCTTTGGCATCCTTTATCTTGTAGAGGCATCGTTCTAATCCTCCACCTACATATGGTGCTCTTCCTCCATCTTCACTTTGTCTTCCCTCTGTGCATGTCTGTCCAAATCCAAATTCCCCTTTATATAAGGACGCCAATCATATTGGATTAGAGCCCCACCCCAATGAACTCATTTGAACTGATGACTTCTGTAAAGACTTTTTCCAATAAAGTTACATTCTGAAGTTCTGGGGCTTAGGACTTCAAACATATAATTTTTTTTTTTGAGACACAATTCAGCCCATATCAGGGGATAAAAGTGAGTATGCTGACAGCATCGGATGTAGTCTCTACTTCAAAGGACCTGTACTCTAGTACAGGGGTCCCCAACCCATACCAACAGGGGACCCCCATAATACCAGTCTGTGGCCATTTAGGAATAGGGCTGCAAAGCAGAAGCTGAGTGGCAGGTGAGTAAGCATTACCTCCTGAGCTCGGCCTCCTGTCAGATCAGTGGTGGCATTAGATTCTCATAGGAGCTCGAACCCTGTTGTGAACTGCGCATATGAGGAATCTAGGTTGCGCACTCCTTATGAGAATGCCTGATGATCTGAGGTGGAAGAGTTTCATCCTGAAACCATCCCCCCTCCATCCATGAAAAATTATGTCTTCCATTGAGGTAGAAGTATAGGGTCGGGAGTGAGGAAACCTAAGGTCGTTTCATGCTGACTTCCTAGAATTAAATTGAAAGGAAAACCCTAACTTTTCACGCCTAAGTAACAAAAGGACCAGAGACTACTCCCTTTGCAACTACCCCCCCCCCCCACCGACCTTTTCTGTCAAGCAGATGGGAAATTGACTGTCCACAACCAATCAGATTGATGGCCAGTCCAGTCTTCCTTTGCCCAGAAGTGCAACTTTGTAACTCCTCCTCAGCCTCTGATTGGTTACAAAAAGCAATCAATCAGATGTTGGCACAGAAGTGTGAACTTCGTTAACTCCACTTCAGGTCACTTTGTAACTCCATTTTGCAACTCCTCCAATTGCAGGCCACCACTTCATTTACATGAGGTGAGCATGCAGTGGCCAGTGGGAAACCTCTAGCAGGCATCTGGACCAGAGAAGATTCTGTATCCAGGCCCTTGAGCCACTTCTCAGGCCCACTCCCACACTGTGGAGTGTACTTTCATTTTCAATAAATCCCTGCTTTCGTTCTTTCGTTGCTTGGTTCTTTCCTTGCTTTCTTGCACGTTTTTCCAATTATTTGTTCAAAACGCCAAGAACCTTGACAGCTTGCAGTCAAGAACCTCTACCGGTAACACCATGAAATCAGTCCCTGGTGCCAAAAAGGTTGGGGACCTCTGCTGTAGTAGGGGAGAACAATAAAGAAAACAAAGAAATACAATGTATAGTATACATGACAATGATAAATGCTACGGAGCAAAATGAAGATGGGAAGTAGGATGCTTCTTGGTATTCCCCAAAAGCGTTTGAATAGTTCTGCACACACAGTTGGGGGTTCAATATTTATGAATGTCATGACTAAGTGTGTGAATATACAGAGTGTGCTATTCACATGATCTTTCACTCAATATTTAATATCTATCAGTGGTCTTCCCAGTAGTGTACTAGGTCTCTGTGGAGAATCTGTGTCTTTTTTTATTTGAATGGTTTATTTACTCACTAAGAATTTTTAGCCGATTTATATGTTGACTGTGGAGTTCAGAAAAGTAGTTATATTTGTATTTGTATACATTAGTTGTATTTGTAATCTCTCTGGAGAATTATTTTGAGGAAGAAGGGTTAATACACATACACACACATGTAAAACATATATAAACACATATATAAAAACACAAATTTAAATATAAAGTGCCTCAAAAAAAGGTATTTGGTAAAACATTAGCCTGAAAATAAAATACCAATACAGAAACGATTTCTGGTTTACTTAATGAGGACATGGTGATATCTACCTATTTCATGAAGCTTTTATTTGGTACCTTTACTTTGATTTTTCAGTGCATAATATCTCTTTAACAATTCTGACATGGGCTTTTTAAACACTGAAGTTATAATTACATAAAAATTTCTGACTCTGTTTTAGTTTCATGGTGGTAGAAACTACAGCCATAAAAATCTTCTAACTGTATGTATTACAGGGAGAAAAATGACATCAGTCCTGAACAAAGGGTAATAATTGAGATGTGTTGTCAAGCAGTGCAGTGACAGAAAAATAACCTTGCTGATCTCCTCTGTATCTGTGAATAATTATCAGCTATAAAAAAGGAATAGGTTGGTGCTATAATCTTTTTGTTATTATTGGAAGAAAGACTACTTTAATCTTATTTTGACAGTCCCTTATCTAAACTATTAACAATTTATTCATTCTGTATTATTAAGTCACAATTGTGATCACTTATGACTGGACATTCTCTCTGCTCTTTCAGATCTTGCTCCCTGGGCTCTGTGCCTTGAGACCCATGGGGTTCCACTCAATACCGGTCTTAAATACATAGTTTTTTTCTGAAAGCTACTAAGCACAGCTTGAATGCCAGTGCTTTCAATTAAACCTTCTAGGTTTTGTGCTGGTGTTAAATAGGCCACCACTGGGGTTGGTTGCTTCCAATAAATGTAGAACTAAAGGCAACTGTAGGGTGTAGAGAGAGATGATCCTTTAAACCAATATAGTGGAGATAAAAGATTGAACAAACTGCTCTTTTTCTTGCTTGACTTAGAATGGACATGTTGTAAATGATACTCTTAAGCAATCAAAGCACAGTAAAAATATCCACTGACAAAGGAAAAAGGAGAGAAAATAACTTTTAGTTACCTGTGTTAGTTAATGGCAATACATATATTAAAACAGAAAAGATGAGATTTCATTCTTCAGGGTTGACTTTATACTCAATAAGATTACATGGTGAAGAGTCATCAGAATAATCGATCTTCCCCCACTTTCCTTCTAACAGTCTCTTATTGGCCTGTGCTGAGGACTACATCAGTCTCCTGTAATTATCATCTACACTGAAAAACAAAGAGGACAGAGGCACAGCTAGTGGCCCTCACCATCCCCTGCAAGCTGATTGCTTCTTACTGCAAGCACTTGAGCATCTTCCTTGACAACTTTCTTAGGCAATGGGAACCAGGCTTGGCCCATTCACAGGCAGGTGAGAAGGATGAGGAAATGGAGAAGGCGTTGTCCAAGGAGCAGTCTTCAACCTTCGTCTTTCAAGTGAGACAACTCTAAATAAGATGTGTTCTATGCTCTAGCTGCTCATGTGATAAGCTGCCTATTAATGCACCCAAGACTGCCTTTCCTCTTTGCTTTGTCTTCCTCCTGCTCTCCTATCACAGTTTCCTGGGATTGCCTCCAAATAAACCACTTGTACTCACGTATTAGTGTTATTGTCAGTAGCAAGATTTTAGTATTTTAGATATACAGGAGCGCTTCAGCTTTTAAAATTGCAAAATTTCTTCTTTATTCAGAGCAGTATTCATACCTGGCCCGTATTTTTTTTTTCCTGGAAGCATTTTATTATTGCTTAAAAATACCAGGAAGACTATCATGAAAACTGTACATTTATAATTTAATAATGGAATCTTCATGTAGTTTCTTAAACCTCAGAGGTGAAGGTATTACATATTCCAGAAATTCAGGAAACTTTCTGTATTATAGAATAGCAGGATATTGACACCTACATTCTCTGGTTAAGAGAATGCATACATGATTTTCAAATAATTGGTCTACAGGCTGGACATGGTGGCTCACACCTGTAATCCCAGTGTGTCTGGAATTGGTGGGTTCTTGGTCTCACTGACTTAAAGAATGAAGCCGTGGACCCTCCTGGTGAATGTTACAGTTCTTAAAGATAGTATGTCCGGAGTTTGTTCCTTCATATGTTCAGATATGTAGGTAGTTTCTTCCTTCTGGTGGGTTCGTGGTCTCGCTGACTTCAGAAGTGAAGCTGCAGATCTTCTCAGTGAGTGTTACAGCTCATACAGGTGGTGCAGACCCAAAGAGTGAGCAGCAGCGAGATTTATTATGAAGAGTGAAAGAAGAAAGCTTCCCCAGCGTGGAAGGGTACCTGAGCAGGTTGCCCCTGCTGGCTCGGGTGGCCTGCTTTTATTCCCTTTTCTGGTCCCAACCACATCCTGCTGATTGGTCCATTTTACAGAGAGCTGATTGGTCCGTTTTGACACAGGGCTGATTGGTGCGTTTACAAACCTTTAGCTAGACAGAAAAGTTCTCCAAATCCCTACCTGTCCCAGAAGCCCAGCCAGCTTCACCTCTAGCTAGCACTCCCCGTAGGACCCTGCGGCACCCAGCTGGGGCACTCCAAGCAGCCCAGAAGGAGCTTGTTGCCTGATCAAGCCCAGCGGGCACCAGCTGGCTGCCCGAGTGCGGGGCCTGCCAAGCCTGCGCCCACCCAGAGAACCCGCACCAGCCCACAATCGCCTGGTGCAGCCCCGGTTCCCACACACACCTCTCCCTCCACACCTCCGAGCAAAGGGAGCCGGCTGCGGACTCCGACTCGGCCAGCCACCGAGAGGGGCCCCCACAGCGCAGCGGTGGGCTGAAGGGCTCCTCCAACGAGGCCAGAGGAGTCGAGGAGGCGCCCAGAGCCAGTGAGGGCTGCTAGCACGTTGTCACCTCTCACCAGCACTTTGGGAGACCAAGACGAACAGATCACTTGAGGCCAGGAGTTCAAGACCAGCCTGTCCAACATGGTGAAACCCTGTCTCTACTAAAAATACACAAATTAGCCGGGTGTGAGGGTCCGTTTCTGTAATCCCAGCTACTTGGAAGTCTGAGGCACAAGAATTGCTCAAACCTGATATGCAGAGGTTGCAGTGAGCCAAGATTGCGCCACTACACTGCAGCCTGTGTGACAGAGTGAGACCCTGTCTAAAAAAAAAAAAAAAATTTCTATGAATAGTGATAGCAAGCATAGCATGTTTCTCTTCTTCAAAGAAATAATTATTGAGATCCTGTTATGTACATGTTTTGTAAACTGGTTCCCTATGCATGGTGGGGCCCCACTCAAGTTCAGGACTAGATACTTACCAAATCCTGGAGAAGAGCCTGCTCTTTTCTAAGTTTCCTTGCTTTGTGGAATTGGAAGTGATTGTCATACCTAATAAGAAATGCTTAGGGGGTGAGGAGAGGATTAATAGGGAGGCTAAGTTCTTATTCAAATACAGCTCAGTTTTAGGTCTCATTTATGGCCATCATCCCATAGAGATTTGCCGAGAAGTATTCCAAAATGATTCTTGATGATTAGCTACCAAATGGAAAAAGAAATAAGATTCTTAACCTGTTCTTTGTAGACGTGCTTCCACATAGAACTAGGACTTCTAGGTCCTAAAATCCAAATATTATCTTGTCTCTTTCTTCTGCTGAGTGTTGAGTGACTGCCAAGGCCATCAAAATAGAATGGTCAAGTACTAAAGATGGGCAACCACAAAAGTCATTTCTCTAGTTTGTCCTTTCAGAAGGGGATTACATGGTATAAGGCACTGCAAAAATAAATAAATACTTGTGGCTATTACCACAATAGCATATCCCTTGTGATGAGGAAGACCTTAAAGTGGATAGAAGTATGATGTAATGGGGGCAGAAGTGTAGAAACAAAACTGTCATATAAGAGATATACTGTGTACCTATGTTACTTCATTTTGCATTGCTATAAAGGAGTACCTAAGGTTAGGTAATTTATAAAGAAAAAAGATTTGTTTTGGCTCACAGTTCTGTAGACTGTATGTGAAGCATAGTGCTGGCATTTGCTCCTTGTGGGGCCTCAGGAAGCTTCCAATCATGGCAAAAGGTGATGGGGGAGCAGATGTGTCACATGGTGAGACAGCCAGTAAGAGAGAAGCCAGCTCATTGAAATATATATGTTGGCTGGCTAAGGAATAAGTCTAGTGTAGTCTGTCTTTCCTACTGATTACAACTAAAAAATCTGGGCAGATTGTGAATAGCACTGCCCAAGGTCTCTGCAAAGTAACCACAGCAAGTGGTTGAAGATGGATGATAAAACATGAATAATGACCCAAAAGGGACAGAGCAGAAGGGTGGAATATGGCAGGTGAGTTTCGTGTTGTTGTTTTCTTTGTCTCTCAGCACTGTCTCAAGAGGGGTTTTAAGTCCTAGAACTGCACAGCAGGTGCGGAAAGCAAACGCTTTAGGGAAGAATCCCTTCTTTTTGACTAAAGACAAGTAAAAAGGACCTCTGTATGCTGGAGAATGTGGAGAGAATCCCTCATCTCCTTTTTTTAATCTTTTACTTCCAAACCCTGCCCAGAGCAGCTCAGTAACTGAGCTGCATAGATGTATGGTAGTAAAGCAAAAACCTAAAACCATGAGAGAAGGCTTGTCTTTCTAGCCTGAGGAGCTAAAAAGAAGCTCCTATTGTCCAGAGTGTGCACAATCCATGACATTTTTCTCATTCTCCTTTCTTTTGCTACTTAACCTTAAAGTAACCCTATTTACTCAAGAGTATATGACATTGTGAGAGGCTAAACATCTAAGAAGATTCAATCTTTCTGGCTAGAAATATCAGGGGAAAAAGGTCATTGATTATGGGAATGTGTGGGAGAAAATTTAGAGACGAAAGAGCTGAAGAAATGGAATTCCAAATTTCGGGTATGTAATGACATAACTCTTGGACTCACCCTGAGCTAAGTGTGTGTGGAGCAACACCAAGGCATAGCAAAGATTGTGAGGGCTGAAATGTAATATAAACTATGACTCAAATTTCAGGCTCTTTTCCAAGTGCAGCGTGCATCAGCCTGGCCCAAAGAGCACAGTAAAGACTTTGAAAACAGAATTGACGTTGAGACCACCACCGCTGCAGGCGAAACTTCTTGCCAGTCTGAAGCTAATGATGTTTATTATCAGTTGCTCAGAAAATTAGCATTTTTATATTATAACAGGACCTACAAACTTGCAAGATGAAACTAAAATGTTCTGGATACAATCCAAAATTATGTGACATAATAATGAGAAAAATACGAAAAATTTACTGTCTTCAAGGGGAAAGACAGTAAATAGATGCCAAACATAAGATGACCTAAGCCTTGGAATAGTCTGTCAAAGACTTTAATACAACTATTATAACCATCTTCTGTGAGATAAAGTTAATAGTCTTGAGAGATAGAAACTCTCAGCAAAGCAATAAGTAAAAAGGTACCAAATGGAAATTCGAGAACTAAACAAAAAGCTAGAACTTCAACATATATTAAAAAAAAAAAAAACTGATAGAACTGCAAGAAAAAAAAGGGCAAATCCACAACTATACCAGATATTTTAGTGTTTCTACCTTAATAATTGATAGACTAGTGTATTAGCCTATTTTCACATTGCTATAAAGAAATACCTGAGATTGGGTAATTTATGAAGAAAATAGGTTTAATTGGCTCATTGTTATGCAGGCTATACAGGAAGCATGCAGCTTCTGCTTCTTGGGAGGCTTCGGGGAACTTTTGCTCATGGTGGAAGGCAAAGCGAAAGGAGGTATCTTCACATGGCTGGAGCAGGAGGAAGAGAGTGAGAAGGGAGGTGCTATAGACTTTTAAGCAACCAGATCTCACAATAACTCACTCACTCGCTATCACAAGAACAGCATCAAGGGCATGATACTAAACTATTCATGAGAATTCCACCCATATGATCCAATCACCTTCCACCAGGCCCCACCTCTTACACTGGGGATTACAATTCCACGTGAGATTTGATGGGAACACAGATCCAAACCATGTCAACCATGTAGTCAGAAAATCAGTAAGTATGTAGAAGACTTCAACAAAACAATTCTCTGCAGGTGCAAAGAGTGGAATATTTACCAAGATAGAAGATATTCTGGATTATATTACAAATCCTCATAAATTTAAAAAGGATTAAAGTCATACTCAGTGATATGGTTTAGCTGTGTCCCCACCGAAATCTCATCTTGAATCGTAGCTCCCACAATTCCCAGGTGTTGTGGGAGGGACCCAGTGGGAGATAATTGAATCATGGGGTTGGGTCTTTCCTGTGCTGTTCTCATGATAGTGAATAAATCCCACAAGATCCAATGCTTTTATAAGGGGGCGTTTCCCGGCAGAAGTTCTCTTTTGCCTGCTGCCATGTAAGATGTGCCTTTCGCCTTTCAGCATGATTGTGAGGCCTCCCCAGCCACGTGGCACTGTGGGTCCATTAAACCTCTTTTTCTTTGTAAATTATCCCATCTCAGGTATGTCTTTATCAGCAGCATGAAAACAGACTAATACACTCAGTATGTTCATTTATCACAATGGAATAGATTGGAAATCAATAACAGAAATATCTCTAGAGAATTTCTACATTTCTAAAAATTAAATATCACATATTAAAATAACTCAGAAGTTGAAACAGA